TAGAATAGAAAATATAGAATAGAATAGAAAATATAGAATAGAATAGAAAATATAGAATAGAATAGAATAGAAAATATAGAATAGAAAATATAGAATAGAATAAAAATACAGAATAGAATAGAAAATATAGAATTGAATGGAAAATATAGAATAGAAAACAAAATATAGAATAGAATAGAAAATATAGAATAGAATAGAAAATATAGAATAGAATAGAATAGAATAGAATAGAATAGAAAATATAGAGTAGAATACAACAGAATAGAATAGAAAATATAGAATAGAATAGAAAAGAAAATATGGAATAGAAGAGAAAATATGGAATAGAAGAGAATAGTATAACAATGGGAAGGGACCTTGGAGGTCTTCTAGTCCAACCCCCTGCTTAGGCAGGAAACCCTATACCGTTTCAGACAAATGGCTATCCAATGTCTTCTTACAAACTTTCACTTTTGGAGCATTCACAACTTCTCCACTGATTACAACAGTTCACTTAGTGCCTGTTCAAAGTTACAACAGCACTGAAAAAAGTAACACAATCATTTTTCACACACTGTTGCAGCATCCTCATGGTCTCTTTGTCTGAAATATATGTCTTTTTCTCCTTTGTTTTAGCTGCAGGATGCCTTGAAATGCCAGCACTGTAAAAAACAGTTCAAGTCAAAAGCAGGGCTGAATTATCACACAATGGCAGAGCACATGAACAAGGTACGGCCCTTCTGCGTGTAGATCCGTGTGCAACGTAGATTTTGCATGTGGAGGGCGGGACAAGAAGTAATGGGTGGAAACTCAACAGAGGGAGACCCAACCTTAATTATTTTAATTGCTCTTCTTTGCATTTTGTTTCCAAAGTCGAGGATTATCCGTACAGCTGATTATGAGTGGGTAATTTTTCCCCCCTGGTTTCTTTTTTTTTCTAGACTGCTCCTGTGGAAGCTGCTGTCCCTCTCGGGGAGCTAGGAGACAGGGAAAGGCTGAGGAAAATGCTAAAGCAGATGGGGAAACTCAAGTGTCCGAATGAGGTATTGATTTTGCTGTCTGCTAGGATGTCCGTAACAAGGTCACCTGTACCACTAGACGAGAATATTTGTAGCCCGGGGGACGAACGGTGGGGTCCTTGGTGCCCTCTGAGCTTGGTTCTTTTCTTGCAGACGTTTCATTACCCAACTAGGTAACATCCTCAGGGCTAGAGGGAAGCAGGGTTTGTGGAGTGGAAGAGGAGGACTATAGGATCCTTGGTGCTCTCTGACCTTGGTTTTCCTGTAGAAGTTTCACTATCCAACTAGGTTAATAGCATCGGACTAGAAGAGAGGGAGGGAGGGAAGAGGAGGAGAACTGTGGGGTCCTTGGTGCTCTCTGAGCTCCGTTCTTTTCTTGCAGACGTTTCATTACCCAACTAGGTAATATCTTCAGGGCTAGAAGGGAAGCAGGGTTTGTGGAGTGGAAGAGGAACAGGAGGACTATACTTGATGCTCTCTGACTGATTTTCCTGTAGATCTTTCATTACCAAACTACGTTCATATCATCAGAGCTAGAAGAAATGGAGGGAGGAGGAGAAAGGGGGGGAGAAGGAGGAGGAGGAGGAGGAGGAGGAGGAATAATGTGAGGTCCTTGGTGCTCTTTGAGCTTGGTGGCTTTCCTGCAGGCATTTCATTGCCCAACTGGGTAACATTATCAGTGCTNGACGAACCGGTTCTACTGAACTGGTGCGAACTGGTAGGAACCCACCTCTGTTGTACAAACACAATTTAAGCCAGCTTTGTGGGAATGCAGGCGACTGTCAGGGTTGCAAGCAAGACCCCTAACGAAAGAAGACTCCAAGGCTTGACTTTCCTCAAAAGTTCCATTTTATTATTTATTATGTATTTATTATTCCATTTATTTTTCTGTGCCTCCCAGTCACACGGCTCCAGGCCCTGCAGGGCAAGCTGTCCTTGCCTCTCTGAGAAAGGGAATATTATTTAGACTATATGTCTCCCATACGCCACATAATCCCCACCTCCCGTTTTCCCACGGCCCTCAACGTGGCCCAATGCTAAAGATGCAACACGTACCCACCGATCTTTCTTTTGCTCCCCGAAACGCAGAACTGGTTCCACACCTCGACCGATTCTTCGAAGAAAAAGAAAAGTAAAGAACAGAGATCGCCCAGCAACGAGGAACGAAAGACTAGTCCCGACGGCAAGAAGCGAGGCCGGAAACCGAAGGAGAGGCCTTCCGAATTTTTCCCGAAAGACACAGAAAGCCTCCTGGGAAATATTAACCATAAGAAAGCCACGGGGTCTTGGCCGGTGGCAAACTGCATCCTGGATGAAAAAGATAGAGGTAACAATCCCTTCCACGCCCCGAAATTCGGGGCTAATAAAATGCCAGAAAAATAAGCCGAGGGGGTCAGGAAAAAAAAAATATTCAAAAAATAATAATAATAATAGTCCCTCTTTAAAGATTAGTTTACAGAGTGATGGGTGAGCAGGATGCTCCTTCGTTGGCGAGCCCCTCCCGTTCCGCTCAATCCTTCCTTTTTTTTAAGAAAACAAAAAAAAAGTGACAAAACCACTTTAAGACGTTGGAAACAAAACATTGGATTTTATTTTTTCGGAGACGGACTCGACCTTCCGGCGCGATTCTTCCATCCGAAAACCCCGCCTGGATTGTACATAATGCCCGTCTGCTTGGGCAGACCACGTCCACGGATCGGTTGGGTACCACGGCGAAAGGCGGGGTAGCGGGTGGGGGGGATGCTGTTTCTTCGGAAGAGACGCTGCAGGAGGAGGAAAGAGCGAAGTGCAATAGGGAAACCACGCGAAGCGTTTTCTGCTCTGTTTTTTTTTTGTGGATTGCTTTTCCCGTAGCGGTCGTGTGTTTAGGGGAAAACGGAGCGTGCTTGGGAGTCCCGCGAACGACAACAAATATTGTGGTTGTGGTTGCAAACCCAGCTTACTTTTTTATAATTTTGATAGGAAATGGCGTTTTTAAAAAAAAAGAATTATCTGAGATTGTTTGACAATGAACCATTGGCGGGGGAGGGGGGTTGGGTTTATGATGAGGATGATGGTGATGAATTTTGAATTTTGGGTCTATTTGTTTTCATGGTCCAACCAGGTCCAACCAAAAAGACTGATGCCCCCCGCTTGTAATTTGGATAACAAAAACGCTGGAAAGATTGAAAAGTTTAGGGAAAGGAACTTTTGGCAAAGAGATGTTTGGGGAAGTTTTCTTAAAGAAAGAGGATTAATTGTGGGAAATTTAGGGCCTTTCCATGAAACTCTTTATTATAAGCAGGTATTTGTGAGGGGAAAAAATGCCCTTAAAAATATCCCAAGGAGAAAAGTCGGTCTAATGAATTAATTAATTAATCTCAATTTTATTTTCCCGTAGTGCAGAAGTGCCCAACCTTAGTAATTTTAAGATCTCTGGACTTCAACTCCCAGAATTCCATGGCTGGCTGAGGAATTCTGGGAGTTGACGTCCAGCCATGCTGGCTGAGGAATTCTGGGAGTTGAAGTCCACAGGGCTTAAGTTGCCAAATTTGGACACACACACACACATACCCTGCTGTAGTGCTTGGAAACGCAGGGATGTGGGATGGTGGAGTTTGTTATAAGTTGCTGAGATGTATAATACATTAATGCAATGTCCTGGATCCTCACTGTCAATTAAGGCCTAGCATTTAATTCAAAGCCAGGGATGGGTGAATTTACGCAATTGGACATTTCGCTATATTTTTCATTTGTGTAAATCTGTCCGAGTCCTTAAAGCTGAGATTCCCCCCACCCCTCCTCTCCTCCCCTTCGAGTTTGCACTAAAATCGGTATGCACTTGAGTGGACATTTCTCCGAACATAAACCTTTTGCATTTTTCCTAGCATCCTTCCGTTGTTGCAGTTATGAGGAGTGCGTCTTTGTACATTATTTCAGGAATGTCGTTGTTATTGTGTAGTCTTCTCCCGTAAAAAAAAAAGAGAGAGAGAAAAAAAAAACCAACAACAACGAACTGCTTGGAAAAGTTTGGGAACCTGTGACTTTCAAATGAGAATAAAAATTTCAGTTCTCATATTTATTCCAAATATGCAAAATTTGCAAAGGGAGCACGTAAATGCCCTCTCTTTAATTTGATCTACCTTTCACACATACTCTCTGGCTTCAAAATGTAGACATAGGAATTTCTAGAAAAAAAAGCTGGCTGGCATTTCTCGGAAAGACTTTCTCTCTGCTATTTTTTCCTAAAGCATGAAATTTTAGCTCCCCAAGACATTTACCTGCAAGTCTCAAAGTAGCAAGACTCTTATATTTGAGCTGGATAAAATGGAAGAATTTTCCTCCAAGCAAAACAACAGCTTGACTATAAAATGCCGGTAATCCTCGGTTAATTACAGATAGTCCTCGACTTATGACCACAAGGGAGCCCAAAATTTCTCTGGTTAAGTGAGCCCATTTGTTAAATGAGCTTTGCACCATTTTACGGCCTTTCTTGCCACCGTTGTTAAGCGAATCACTGCAGCTGATAAGTTAGTCCCGCGGTTGTTAAGTGAATCTGGCATCCCTATTGACTTGGCTTGTCAGAAGGTCACAAAAAGGGAGCACATGACCTTGGGACATAGCAACGGTCACAAGTCCGTGTCGGTTGCCAACCGTCCGAATTTTGATCTCGCGATCCCAGGGATGCTGCAACGGTTATTAAGTGTGAAAGTCTGTCAGAAGGTCGCAAAAGCTGCCCAGGAGACTTCAACTGTCATAAATATGAAACCGTTGCTAATCATCCAGATTTTGATCACGTGACCAGGGGGAGGCTGCAACCGTCGTAAGTGTGAAAAACGGTCATGAGTTACTTTTTGCAGTGCTGTTGTAACTGTGAACGGTCACTCAGTGAACTGTTGTAAGTCGAAGACTATCTGTCATTGGGACTGGCAACTGCGTTACTAAACAGCACAGTTATAAAGGGCGATGCCGTGCAAATGCCCTGTCTTCAGTTGCCGTTGTTAAGTGAATCCCACCTAGTCATATTACCGTCGTCCCATGGTTACCTGATCACCATTTTCGATTTCCTGCCGGCTTCTCCATTGACTTTGCAAAGTGCTGTGATGTCATAATTAGGCGCCGATTACCAAATGCTTGATTCACGAAACAGTGGAGACCCTCGTTCAGTGCTGTTGTCATTTCAAATGATCATTGAACAGATGGTTGTTCGTGGCACGACAAAACCGCGAAGCCCTTATCCGCGGAGACATAAGCGCGTCGCTAAAGCCGNTTCCTTCTCCTTATCTGTCTCCATTTCTTTCTTTCCTTCCTCCTTTCCTTCCTTCTCCTTCTCCTTATCTGTCTCCATTTCTTTCCTTCCTTCTCTTCCTACCCCTTCCTTCTCCCTTTTCCTTCTCCTTATACATCTCCATTTCTTTCCTTCTTTCCTTCCTTCTCCTTCTCCTTATGTCTCAATTTCTTTCCTTCCTTCCTTCCCTCCCTGTCTCCATTTCTATGTCTGTCTCCATTTCTCTCTGTTTCACTTTGTGCCCATTCCCTTCCTTCTGTTCCTCTCCCCCTCTCCTTCTCCTTATATGTCTCAATTTCTTTCCTTCCTTCCCTCCCTGTCTCCATTTCTCTGTCTGTCTCCATTTCCCTTTGTGCCCATTCCCTCTCTCTGTGTGCCCATTTCCCTTTGTGCCCATTCCCTCCCTCCCTTCCTTCTGTTCCTCTCCCCTTCATTCTCCCTTCTCCTTGTATGTCTCTCCATTTCCTCTCTATCTCCATTCCCTGCATCCCTCCCTCCCCTCTTCATTCTCCTTTTCTTCCGTCCCGTCCTCCTCTTCCTCCCTGTCTCCTCTCCCCTCCCTCCCTTCCTCCTCCTCCCCTCTTTCCCCTCCTTCCTCCCTCCCTCCCTCCCTCCCTCCTCTCTTTCCCTTCTCTTCCTCCCTTCCAGCATCTGCCTTCATCACCGACCGCTTTTCTCTCCTCAGCCCCCAGAGCAGCCAGAGCTGAAACCCGAACCCAGCCCCGTGGAAGATTTCGAGAGGACCCCCAGCGGCCGCATCCGGCGCACCTCCGCCCAAGTCGCCGTCTTCCACTTGCAGGAAATAGCAGAGGATGAGTTGGCCAAGGACTGGACCAAGCGGCGGATGAAGGACGATCTGGTCCCCGAAACAAAGCAAGTGAGCGACTGGGGGCACCTGGGAGTTTCTCAAAGATGGCGGAGGGTGGGGGTGGGGGTGTGAACCAGAGAATTGGGGCGTTTGGGGGTCGAAGGCTTGGCCTGAGGAGGATCGTTGCATGCTTTCTATTTATCGGTTAAGATTTACGTCCTGCTTTTTCCTCCAAGATGGCTTCCATGGGATTTCTCTTCCTTTATCCTCACAACAACTTGTATACGCAGAAGCAATTTTTTCATGACTGCGCATGCGCGCATCAAGTACGCGCCCAAAGCGCATCCCTGAGTGAACCAGTAATAAAAGAATCCGGAACCCACCCCTGCGCCACCATGGCTTATATAGCATGTCTGTATAGGTGTGATGTATGTGTACAACTTGAGAACAGGCAACAGAATTTCATGTTTAATGTGTGCCAGTGTGCCTGCCGTAAAAAAATGTCGGTAAAGGTGATCCTATATCTTAAATGCTCTCTACCAGTTGAACCTCTTGCAGAGGCTGTCTGGAGTGGTAGTGGTGGTAAAAAAATCAAGGAGACATTAGCCGTGTTTTTCCGCGCACTTGTGAATAGCATTCTGACTGTTGTGACTTCTGGATGTTGGCAGCTAAACTACACTCGGCCTGGACTTCCCAAGTTGAACCCGCGGCTTCTGGAGGCCTGGAAGAATGAAGTCAAAGAAAAAGGACACATCAATTGCCCAAATGACGTGAGTGCTTTGTGCGTTTACGGCCAGAAGACCTTGATTCTAGTTCCCATCTGTGTTGGGGTGGGATTTGAAGAAGATTTACCATATTTTTCAGACTATTAAGGCGCACAGGAGTATAAGACGCACGGGGATTTTGAAGAGGTAAATTTTTTCCAAAGGATTTTGCCCTACCTGGCTCCCAGGAGTTTTTTTGTGAAAAAGGGGCATGCAGAGAGTTTGAGAAGCCTGCAAAATGCTCCTGGCGGCTGGGGAGGGCAAAAATGCAATGCGTGGGGGGTTTAGGAGCGCAAAACGGGCCTGGATTTTGCAAAAATGGGGCGTGCAGAGGGCGTGGGAGGCCTGTAGAACGCTCCTGGGGGCTGACGAGGGCAAAAAATGAGCAAAAAACGGGGCATGCAGAGAGTTCCTGGGCTTGGGAGGGCAAAAACATCCCCATTTTTTTTGAGAAAAATGGGCCCGTTTTTCACTCGTTTTTGCCCTCCCCAGCCCCCAGGAGCACTTTCCAGGCCTCCCAAACCCTCTGCATGTCCAATTTTGCGAAAAACAGGAAGGGCAGAGCAGGGTTTTGGGAGGCCAAAAATGCTGTATTCAGTCTATAAGACGCACCCAGATTTTCACCCTCTTTTTTGGGGGGGAAAGGTGCGTCTTATACTCCGAAAATTACGGTAAGTCCCAAACAGAGGTCTGACTAGATAGGTAGTCCTCGACTACAACTGAGCCCCAAATTTCTGTGGCTAAGTGAGACAATTGTTAAGTGAGTTTTCCTCCTTTTCCCGACTTTCCTTGCCACCGTTGTTAAGTGAATCACTGCAGTTGTTAAATTAGTGACACGGTTGTGAAGTGAGTCTGGCTTCCCCATTGACTTTGCTTGTCAGGAGGGATCACATGTCCCCGGGGCATTGCAACCGTCATAAATGTGAGCCGGTTGCCAAGCGTCTGAATTTTGCAGCAGGCTGAAACGGTCGTCACTATGAAAAACAGTCATAAGTCACTTTTTTCCCCAGTGCTGTTGTAACGTCAAACATTTTTCGGTGATGAAACATCTGCAAGAAAACCACCAAGCTCAGAGAGCACCAAGGACCCCCCAGTCCTCTTCCTGCTCCCCTTCCTCCTCCTCCTCCTCCTCTCCACAAACACCCCTCCCTTCTAGCACTGATGATGTTACCTAGTTGGGTAATGAAACATTGGCAGGAAAACCACCAAGCTCACAGAGTGCCAAGGAGCCATAGTCCTCCCCTCCGTAAACCCATTGTCTTCTAGCACTGATGATGTTACATAGTTTGGTAATGAGATCCCACTGGCTCCTCCTCTTCTTCCTCTTCCTCCCCCCCTCCTCCTCCCCGCAAATCTCACCACTCCTAGCACTGATATTACCTAGTTGGGTAATGAAATGTCAGCAAGAAAACAACCAAGCTCAGAGGGCACCAAGGACCACCCCCCAATCCTCCTTCTCCTCCTCCCTGGAAACCACACTCCTTTCTAGCACTGATGATGTAACCTAATTGGGTCATGAAACGACTGCAAGGA